TTCTTCCGGAATCCTACGTATGTGCTTCAGTAGTCCCATGGATTGCCTAAAGAATCCCATGGATGTCATAAGGGTTCCGAAGGAGTTCTTTAAAAAAAACCTTATGGATGTCCGAAGGATTCCTGCGGATGTCGTAAGGAATCCGATGGACCCCCTGAGGAATCCAAAGGATTTCCTATGGGATCCGCGAGCCCCGCAGGTCACGGTCGAGCAGGATTGCAAGTTCCCCAAACCGGTCAACATAGATTGGCGCATGTGCAGTTTTAGGTCTCCCAGATGGGGTCCGAGCATATGGGGGCGGAGGATCGCGCGGCATCGCCGGCGCATCGCCGACGCGCTCGATGTGGGGACCGTTTTCCTTCGCGCTGACGTCGCCGATGCGTCGCCAACGTCGCCGATGCATGGCCGATGCTTGGCCGATGCATCGCCGATGCATCGGCGATGCTGCGCCATTTTCCGGCCGCGTCTACTCGGACCCCATCTAGGAGGCCTTCAGCAGGGCACCTCGGCGCACCGAGCTCGCCAAGCATTGCGCGATCATGAACTGCGATCAGAGCAAGAAGGCCGACGCCCTCGAGCCCCGGGCACGGTGAACGCGCTGTTCGGCGAGATCGGGGAGCGCGTGGGTGTCCCCGAGAACGTTCCGGCGATCGAGCCCACAGTGGCCGTCGCCTTGGCTCAAGAGGGCCAGCGCGAGGGCGAGCCCGCCGCCCAGCCGCCCGAGAATCAGAAGCGCTTGGCCGAGAGAGTCGAGAAGGCCGAGCATCTGCTGATCGCGGTGCATTCCGAGACCCCCGCGCACTACGCCTACCTCAAGGTGTCTAAGCAGGGGGCGGGCGCGGCCGTCGAGCACCGCGACGCCCTCGAGCAGCCGCCCGAGAACGCCAAGCTGGCCGCCGCGAGGATCCTCCGAAAGCGCGGCGCCATCGGCCCTGTCGAGGAATGCCCTGCGAGCAGTAGCGACATGTTCCAAGCGGATGGCTGGACTTGCACCTCTGGGCGACGAGGTGGGCCCAGCGCGCCCTGCGCGAGATCAGGGGCGAGGGCCGCCAGCCGCCCATCGGCGTCGCACAAGCGCGCCCGAGGCTTCTGGTGGATCCAGAAGCTGCAGGGCGCGAGCGACAAGTGCTCCGCCATTGCCAAGGCCACGGCCGAGGCCGGGAGCAAGGGCAGGGCCAAGCCGCCGAGCGGCCCGACAGCGCCGGAGCCCGGGTACGGCAGCCTCGAGGAGGCAAAGGCTGCAGCGCTAGCGCGCGCGAAGTGCCTCCCGCGCGAGGACGGCCCCGAAGGGTGCCGGGCCTGCGTGGGCGAGTGGTGAGAGCGCGCGCGCGAGAGAGGCTTTTTGGCGAGAGCCGCCCAGGACCCCGAGCTCTCAGGCAAGCTCTAGAAGCCAACTTTCGCCAAGCGTTAAGAGCCGTAAAAATGAGGAATCATCGTCTTCATCGTCTCCATCGTCATCATCTCCATTATCTGCAGGGATCCCACATGATTTCCATCGGAGTCCCCTGGATGTCCGATGGAATCCTATGGATTTCCTGCGGGATCTCATGGATCTCTCCAGGAATCCAATTGATGTCCTTTGGATTCCTATGGATGCCACTGGGGGCCCCGTGGATTTTCGATGGAATTCTATGGATTTCCATCGGAATACAACAAATATCCTTCGGATCCCCATGGGTATCCAATGAATATTTGGGTTTTCTATCATATTCCTTAAGGCTTACTTCGGAATCCTTTTGGTTTTCGTAGAAATCTTACGGATTGCCGCGGGAATCCCATGGATTTCCTAGGGGTCCCGACGGGTTTCCATTGGACTCCTACAGGTTGCCAAAGGGATCCTACGAATGCCCAGCAGGATTCCAATGGATGTCCCAAAAGACTCTTATATATTGCCATCTGAACCCGATGGATGTTTTAAGACATCCAATGGATTTCCTAGGGCAACCCATTGATTTCCAAAAGGAATCCAAAAGATGCTCCTAGTGTTCCCCCGGAATCTTTAGGATGTCCATCGCATGTTTATGGGATTTCTAAGGCACCCGATGGATGTCCAGAGGATTCCCACGGATTTCCGGAGGAATCCTATGGATATCCGAAGGACTGTTATGGATGTCCAGACGACTCTTGTGGATATCCAATGGATTCGTATAGGCCTCTTACGGAATCAAATAAATATCCTTCGGAATCCGATGGGTACCCAAAGGGACCCCATGGATGTACATAGGATCCCGATCGATCTCCTTCAGTTCCTTATCGATTAGTTCGTGAAACCAACTGGGGTTCTCTTTGGATACTATGAATCCCCATGGGGGTTTTATGGATGTCCATTTGATTTCCATGGATTTCCAACGGAATGGTCTGGATATCCGAAGGAGTCCCGTGGATGTCCATCGGATTCCGATGGGTTTCCGAAGGACCCCTATGGATTTTTCCATTCGTCTGATGAGCGTTCAGGATCATCTTGACCATCATCATCGTCATCATCTTCATTATCCTGTTGAGATTTCCATGGCAACGTTTATTATCCCGCGTGGACCCCGAATTGCATTATCCCCGGGAGGTTATTATCGGGAACACAGGGTTAACCATTTTGGCTCAAACTTGCGCTGCTGTCGCTGTTCATTTGTCGACAACAAAAAAAACACGACGTCGGGGGTGTGGGCCCCGAACTTTTCCCCAGGGCCGGGTGTTCAGCCCGAGCCGCTTTTGATCGTCCCGGGGCCCAGCGAGGGCCTCTCCAGAGGCCGAAGCAGGCGAACAACCTCCGCACCTGCTTTGTCAATGCGTTGGTCCGAGGCAAGAATTCATACATGACCACCGACCGCCTGGAGGATCAATTTTCGGGGACTTCGGCAGGCGGTAGACCTGGACATATTCGGGCCCCCGGGGGCCAACAAATCTTCACATCCACCGCCCGCAGGGGTACCCAGACGTCGGTTCCCAGGCGGCGGATATGGATAAACTCCCGCCTCGCAGTGGCCTCTCTGGGGGGCCCCCTGCGCCCCCTTCCATGGGGGTTCCCCTGAAACTCGGGGACCCCCTGCGCCCGCCACCGCAGGCCGTTCGCGCGACGACCGCCGCCGAGACGGCTCCCGCAGCGCCTCGCGGAGGCGCCCACCGTCGCCGCGGAGGCGCGGGCCCGCCACGGGGGGGGGCTCTCAGGGGGCATCGCTGGAGGAAGAGACCCAGACCCCCTCGCGTTGTGAAAAAAGTCACGACGAGATGTTTTTAGTTATTTTCGGCCTCCCGGGGCCCTGACCGGGACTCGGGCTTGTCAAAACATGACTCAGGATGAAAAACCGGTCCTGGGGAAGGGGTCCAAACCTCTGGGGGTCGACGTTGTGACAAGAATCATGACGTTTGGGCTCTGGGGAGGAACATGAAAGGAAGCCGAATAAGGAAAGCTGAAGGAGGGGACGCGCGCGCGCGAGCTGAAGAAAGAGAGCTGGGGGAACTGGAGGAAGAGGAAGAGGGGAGAGGCGCGCGCGACGACAACGACGAACGGACGACGACGACCCGCCCGGGCGCGCCGCGCCGCTTCCCCCTTCGCGCCGCGCGCGGGGCCAACCGGGAAGGGTAGGCTCAGGGGGTGAACGTTTCGGGTTCGAGGTTCAACAATTTTGGGGTTTTAGGCTCCTCCTCCTCCTCCTCCTCTGCGCACGCTCCGCCCCCTCCTCCTCCTCTTTCTCCTCCTCTTCCTCCTCTTCGTCCTCCTCCTCCTCCTCTTCCTCCTCCTCCTCCTCCTCCCCCCCCCTTCCCCTCCTCCTCCGTCTCCTCCTCAGCCAGTCAGTCAGTCAGTCAGTCTGTCTGTCTGTCTGTCTGTCTGTCTGTCTGTTTGTCTGTCTGTGTGTCTGCCTGTCAGATGGAAGACTGCAGGTTCGCAGCCTGCACAGGATGGGGCAGAGAAAGAGGCAGAGCAGCTCAGAGCCCCGTGCGACAGCAAAAGAGGCCCCGGCCTCGCGGAGCGTCCCACTCCAGGGTCCGCCCGCGAAGGGGGCCCTTTATAGGATGTCGCCCGAGTCTGGTGGGCCATGCAGTCGTCAGCCATGCGGAAGACGTGGTGCGTGCCGAGTGGGGTGAAGAAGCCCGCAGCCCACTCGCGCAACTCATCCGAGTGGCGCCCACGCCCACTGCGGCGGCAGAGGGGGGAAGGAGCGCTGAGCACCCGAGAGAGAGGCGGAAGCAGGGAGGCGGCAGCGAGGTCATGGATCAACTGTGGCCTGCGCAGTGGTCCACGGCCTCCGCTCCCCAGAGACCCTGAGGGACACGTGCGCGCTCCCTGCGCGCCTGCCGCTCCTGGGTCGGCAATCGACCAGCCCCCCGCAGCGCATGGAGATGGGCGGCGAGCGGACGGGTTGGGCTTTGAACGGTCGACTCCCGAGCTGACACTGGTCATGCAGCGCCCACCATGTCAACTCCAAGGGGTTGGCTGAGTTTGACGACCTCGGGGAGATATGCCGAGAAGAGGGGACACTGGGATTGGAGAGGCGCGGGGCAGGGTGCTCCATAGCGCATGGGATTCGCAGAGTCCAGGCTTGGTAGAGACGGAGCACCAGAGTCTGCAAGATATCGCTGTCACGCTGCACCTTTTTTTCTTCACGCTTGGTGAGATAAAGCAGCCCCCAAAGCCGGGAGGGGGGTCGGAGGGGGGGTGGGCGCGACGTGCCTTCGGTGGGGAGATGCGGAGATACCTAGCAGCACTTCACGTTTCGCACGGTGGGCAACCAAGAACCCCCCTACCACGAAGCCCTGGGCCATCAAGAAAAGCCACATCTGCACAGTCCTTTCACAGGTGAGGTCACCCCTCGTCTCGTCATGCGCAACGTCTATACTAAGAGCGCGCGCGCGCACAGGACGGTGAGCCAACAGTTGCTCAAACAGGTCCCGAGGATCATCTTCCCTGCGGTGCCCAGGGCAGAGGTGGAGGATGTAGCAGGTGCCCTGTGGCAGGCCACAGGGAGGAGATCCTCCTCCTCCTCCTCCTCCTCCTCCTCCTCCGTAGCCATTTGGGCTCAAGACGGCTTTCAGGTTTTGCTCTGCGTGGCTCGCGCTTCTCTGCCCAGCCATCACACGCGGCTGTTATTTATTTCGTTGCGAAACTGCAGTTTGGTGTGCTTGCAGAATGGATGAAGCAAATGGGATTCTTTCGTTTGTCGCTGGTCGGGCCTTGCGGCTGCTGGCCAAGTATTCGGGCAAGCACTTCAATGGGCTCCAGATGGCTGCGCATGCCAATCGCCGGGTCCTATCATCGGGAATGCGCCGGCGGCTTCAACAAGTTGGCATTGCATATCAAGTGGTACGTCATCATACGGAGCAGTGGGAAGATGGTTTTTTCGAGGCCCTTGAGCAGGAGTTGGTAGGAGCATTCCCCGGGCGGCGCAGCTCGAAGCCTGTATGCGCACCGAGGTTCTCTCGCAACGTGACGCAGCGGAGTGGCCTTGTCGGGACGGCGCTCAACAGAGATGCTGCTCCTTTCGCCATGCCGCAGGTGGAACCGTTGGCGGCCGTGCCTGTCATCCTCGAGCAGGCGAAGTTCCTGTATGACTCGCAGCTGATAGCATATCAGGGGTTGGTGGAGTCGCAAAACTCGTCTATTGCAGCACTCCAAGGCATCATTGATTCTTATTCCCATGCGCGTAAGGCCTCTGAGACGGACTCTGGCGAGCCTTCGGCGGACATTGTGAGCGAGACGTCCTCTGGATCGGCGGCCGCTTCATGTTGCCCCTCGCCCAGGGCCATGGTAGACTCAGGGCACCCTGAGATTGTAGCCATTGCGGCCAAGCTCGATGCTGTTCCCAACCTCATTGACAGAAGGATCCACAGTGCTTTGACGGAGATTGTCCCCTCGGTGACCAAGTCGCTCAGCGGCTCGATGGGCGATGTTGTTTCAAATATTTTGGGGGCCACTCTGCCTGGGGCCATCGAGGCCGCAATCGTGCCCAGGATGGATCAGATGTTTGATGCAGTAGCTTCGCGTGTTTCCGAGTACTCGGCCCGCGCTGCGTCATCTGCTGGTACGCCTCAACGGGGCGGCGATGGTGCAGAGCTGGAGGGCGTCGAGCAGATGGTGAAGGATGTGGTGGCATCGCAGCTTGAAGTGCTCAAAACGCAGTTCCTTGAGCTCACCGCGCGCGTGGAGGCCTTGGGCGCTACCCGTGAGGTGGAGAAGCGGCCCCCTGCTACTGGCCTTGCCTGCTCGGCGGATCGGGCCCGGTCTCCCGTGCTTCCGATGTGCCGGTACGGTCGACAGTGCAAGAGGAGCGATTGCATCTTCCGCCATCCTGAGGGACAGGCCACTGCCGCAAGCGCACGGGTTCATGGCGGTAGGCCTGCGACGTCGCCTGGCCGCCCTCATCAGATCACGCTAAACGCGCGCCCCATAGATTACGGCAGGTTCGATGACATTGTCGACGCCGCCGAGGCGGAGGAGGTTCAGGACTTCATTCTGGCTGGGCTATTCGGCGATCCGATGGAGACGGAATTGCCGCCAGAGCCCGACGTTGATTGATGTGGTCGCGACGTCCTGTTTGTCTCGCTCTGCCAGTTATACTACGCACGTCGCGTCCCTCTTCCGCGACGGCTTCATAGATCCAGCTTGTTGATCAAATTCTTTCTCAGCACTTTCTTCCCCATCCTGTACTCCTTATTCGTTGAGGTTATTATTTAAGGGGCTGTCGCCCTCGCTCATTCGCCACTTGGTGGCGGGCGGAAGATCTCCTGTGTAATCGTACTCGCCTTTCGGCTACGCTCCACCTCCTCCTCCTCCTCCTCCTCCATAATCAATGTAAACCCAAGACCCATCAACGATGTTACAATAAACCCTCCGTCCAGGCTCCCTCTTCACAGGCCCCTACAAGGATTCATTTTCACTCGGGGGAATGCCCCGTTGGAAGACAACCGTTCGAAAACCATGAACTGTGCCAGAGCTCACGTCTGGACGATCCTAAACCGTGCCGGCACACCATTCCTGGCACTTCAACACCGCGAATCAACGTAACTGTTGCGCCCTGACAGTCAGACGTCGTGCCAAAACACAACTACTGGGACGTTCACCGTGAGAATCCTCGAAACTGTTGTGCTCTTCAAACGAATGTGCGCGGCGCTAAGGCGAAGAAGCCGCCCTCTATCCGTGAAGCTCTTGCACATCTGTGCTACGGATATGTGCGGCGCTGAGGCGAGAAGCATTTTGAAACTGGCCCGCCCTCCACCCTTGACGCTCTTGCAGTTCTGCGCTGGGTGCGCGCGGCGCTGAGGCGAACGCCACACTTTGAAGACGACCCGCCTCCAACCGGGAAGCGCTTGCAAGTGTTTGCGACGAATGCGCGCGGCGCTAATGCGAGAGCCACATGTCAAACATGAACAAAAACAACAAACCGAGCCTCCCTCCAGCCATGAAGCTGTTGCAGCGTTTCAGAGGAAGGATCGTAAGCGGTGGTCTCAGGCGAAACGCCCGGCCCGCTCTATCCCCACATGTTCGGGGTGCGACAGGGAGGAGTTCATCAGAAGGAAAGGAGGGAGGAGGAGGAGGAGGAGGAGGAGGAGGAGGAGGATGAGGATGAGGAGGAGGAGGAGGGAAGAAGTGAGGAGCAGGAAGAGAAACCTTCTTGGGGCCCTCTTGGGGCCTCCTGGGGACTTCCTGGGAGCTCCTGAGGGGCCTTTGCTTCTTAGGGGGCTCCTGAAGCCCCGTGGGGGCCTCTTGGGGCCTCTTGGGAGTCGATTTGCCCGTCTGACACCTTCGGAGGCCGTCTTGGAGGCCTCTCTGGGCCATCTTGTGGTGCCCTTTGGGAACGTACGGCCGTCTTGGATCCCTCTTGGGAGCCTTTGAGGCGATCTTGGGGTCTTTTCGGCCGACTCGGGGCCCTGTTGGGGGCCTCATGGGTTGTCTAGCAGTTGTCTTGGAGGCCCCTTGGGCCGTCTTGGGCGGTCGGAAAGCCAAAAAAGCGAGAGCTTCAAAATCCTTTTGAAAAATTACTCACTGCTTGGAGCTCCCCATGTGTGCAGCTCCTGCTTTATGTCATGCCATAGTCAGTCAGGACTCCGTCTTGACAGGCTGCAAAGAGCACAGGCCGCCTGGATCGACCATCATCAGACCCGATTGCCGCCTCGGGGTCTCTCCCCAGGCAAGCCACAGGGGGTGCTCAGATGCGCACCGACAGCACGCCAGCGCTGACCTCTCCATGTTCTGAGTGCGTTGCGTGAGCTGCTGGCAACTTTCCCGTAGCTCAAGCACTGGGCCGCCACGGAGGGGGGCCCAAGGTGGCGCCTTCTCTGTCGCGGGCGCCACATCACGCATGCCAGAGCGTATGTAAAGCCGGCGCCTCTCTGCTCACAGGCGCGCAGAAGGGGCGAGTCTCGCCCTTCTCACCACAACCTGTTTTTGTTTTCAAGTCGTGCCGCGCCAGGGGGGAGGGTAATCTCAGGCCCGGCGGGACCTTGCATTCCGTTGGCCTGAGCAGATGATGTTCGAACCAGTGCGCACTCCTCCCCTCCTTCCCCCCCCTCCTCTTTCCCTCCCCTCCCACCATCTCCTCCCCTCCCCTCCCTTCCCTCCCCTCCCTCGCCTCCCTCTCCCCCTATCCCTCCATCGGATCGACTCGACTCGATCGGATCGGCTCGACTCGACGTTCTCTCCTGCCGAGTCGGTCCGATCCGATTTCGAGGGCGGCCACGATGGGGTGACTGATGATTACTGGGGGGTTATGTCATGGCCGGGGCCATGGTGATTCCCCGAGTTTTACTTGCCCTCTTTCAGCACGTCCCCTGATCCTCCTCTCGCCCGCGCACGTGCCCAGTGCCAAGATTTTCGCGAACCCCCCTTTTGGACACCCCCTCTCTTGGACGCCCCCGACGACCCTTCCCCTTGATTTCGGATCCGTGGCGGAAAAAGCGACGCTGGGGCCGCTCTGAGTCCGGACGGGGCTTCGGGCTCTTCGCGTGCCAAAAAAAGGACCTCGCTCCAGCAGCCCAGCCCTCTGGCGGAAGTCGACGCCACAGTGACCCTGCAGAGCAGGGCGGGGAACTTCGCGCCCGCAGGAAGGCAGGTCCCAACGCCGGGGCCCCGCACCCCGCAGCCGCCCCGGCAGCCGGCGCGCGCGCTGGGGCCCGGGGCCCGTGCGCCCCCGCCCCAGGCACACAATGCAGCGGGGGGGCGCGCCGGCCCCGCGGGCCATGCCGCCGCGGCGTGCCGGCCGCGCCTCGACGCCGCCGCGGGCGCGGCGCTGAGGAGGCGGGCGGGGAGGGGCCTGGCATCGCTCGGAGGTGTGCATTGTTCCTTGGCGACGACCATCGGGGAGCATTCTGGACCCTCGGGCGAAACAGACGCGCGAGATCGACAAAGGCACGGGAAGTGGACGTCCGAGCGATGGCGAGGGGAGCTCCGCGGCAACGCCAGGCCGATTCCCCCAGAGGAGTCTGGAGCAGCATTGGCACGGGGAGGCGGAGGAGGAGAAGGAGGAGGAGGAGGAGGAGGAGGAGGTGGAGGTGGTGGAGGAGGAGGAGGAGGAGGAGGAGGAGAAGGAGGAGGAGGAGGGGAGGGAGGGGCTCGATCTCAGCGACGGGGAGGGCGCGGAGGGCGGCTCTGCGCGTGGGGGCCTCCGCTGGAGGGCGGCTCGACGGCGCGGGCACGCAGGGGCCCCACCGGCACTGGCTGGCGCGCTCGGGTGGCGGGGGTCTGGCCTCCCCCGCGGCCCTCTTCGGCCGCGCACCAGACCCAGACCTCCTCGCGCTGTGAAAAAATCACGACGGGAGGTTTTTCATGATTTTCGGCCTCCGGGGACCCTTACCGGGCCTTAGGACCGTCAAAAAACGACTCAGGACGAAAAACCGGTCCCGGGGAAGGGGTCCAGACCTCTGGGGGTCGACGCTGTGAAAAAATCACGACGTCGGGGGTCTGGGGAGGTCGTTCCTGCCCAGGGCCACCCTTGCGCGCAGTGCAGCCGAGGCGGGGGGGGCTTCGGGGCAACGCTAGGGGAGGATAGGCTCGGCCAGCGATAGGGAAGGACCGGCTCCTCCTCCTCCTCCTCCTCCTCCTCCTCCTCCTCCTCCTCCTCCTCCTCCTCCTCCTCCTCCTCCTCCTCCTCCTCCTCCTCCTCCTCCTCTCCCTCCTCCTCCTCCCCTTCCCCCCCCAGGATCAAAGAAAGGCGAGGTTCGAGGTTCGAGGTTTCCAGGCGTTCTTTCGTCGGTTCTCTGTGATTTTTCAGCCTCGGGGGGCTCTTTTGCAGATGCGCCTCGTCCAGAGCCATCTGGTGATGCCCAGATTGTCCCGAACGGCCGCCAGACAGCCGAGCTGTGGTATGAAAGTCAGGGGGGCAACGTTAGGTCTGTACGTGGGGAGTAGGCTCAGGGGCAGCGCCAAGGATCGAGGTTAGCGTTCTGGACGTTTTTGGGGGTCGCCCTGGGGTGCCCTCGTGGCCACGTCTGCATCCGCCTGGAAATTCTTGGCAGAGCTTACCCCCGGAGAGGTCCAGGAGTCGACCAGGAGGGAGAGAAGCACACAGACACAATGAATCGTCGACTCCACAGAAAATCTGGGAGAATATGGGCAGTGGGGGGGAAGACAAGAAGCCAGAAAATAGGGGAAAACATATGGGGGAATCCTGTCATTTGTGTGTGTGTGTGTATCTGTGTGTCCCAGGGCCCCTTCAGTGTCGACCTTCGACCCTTGATCAGGGCAGACGTGAAGGGAGGATGGGCTCAGGCGGGGATGCATCGACCCCCAAATCGCTTGCCGGCCGCCGATCGGGGGGCCTGACAGCATGCGCCGCCCAGGACCGCGCGGGCTCGCCGTCGGGGCCCATCGCCGACCCATCGGGGCTGAACCGCCGAGTCCCCGCCCGAGCCCGGGTCCCCTCGAGGGCGTCGGCGCTTCCGAAGTGGAGCCCCGAGGAGGAGAAGGGAGAGGAGGAGGAGGAGGAGGAGGAGGAGGAGGAGGAGGAGGAGGAGGAGGAGGGGGAGGGGGAGGAGGAGGAGGCGGAAGAGGAGCAGGAGGACGAGGAGGAGGAGGTCATCAACGATGTTGGAATTAACCCTCCCTCCAAGCTCCCTCCAGCTCAAGTGTGGGAAGTGGCTCTCAGGCTGAGCCTCCACAGTCTGAGGCCGCTCGTTCTCCGGGCCCCATCCCTCTGGGCCCCCCTCTGAGCTGCCGCACTGGGCGCAGGACTGGGACAACGTCGCTCCCACCTTCCAGAGGAGGGGGCGGAGGGAAACGACGACGACGACGACAACAGCGACGACGACGAAGAAAAAGACGACGACGAAAAAGACGACGAAAAAGGCGACGACGACGACGACGACGACGACGACGACGACGACGACGACGACGACGACGACGACGGCGACCGCCCTCGGAGCGCCCCGGAGCGCTCCGGAACGGCCGCGGCGCCCGACAGCCTCGATCGCCACCTTCCGCGCCTTCCGCGCGGCTGGTGCCGTGCCGCGGCGGCCGCCGCCGCGGCCGCAGCGGCGGCCTCGGTGGGCACCGCGGCCGCGTCGCGGCGGCACCTGCCGCGCGGAAGGTGCGGCAGAGCCGCCCCGATCTCGGGCGACGAAGTCTATACAAGTCCACTGCTCCCTGGCCAGGCCCATCCTGAACCCCAGAGCTGTGTGTACGCCCCCCTGGCCAAGCCAGGAGGGCGTGGCGTAATGAATGCACCGCTGTTGGGTTCTGGATGAGCCTGGCACGGGACCAGGGGTCCAAGACCCCCGACGTCATGATTTGCGTCGACCCTCAGAGGTCTCGACCCCTTCCCCTGGACCAGTCTTTCATCCTGAGACGTTCTTTGACGCCCCCGAGGCCCAGTAAGGGCCCCCAGAGGCCGAAAAAAGCGAAAGCCTCCCGTCATGTTTTTGCATTACCAGAGGGGGTTTGGGGGTCTGGGGATATGTGTAGACTTGCCGCCCTACGATCTGTCCCTGTCCGACTTTGGTCGCGGCCCTGGCCTCGTCAAGAAAAGGGCTCGTCGCCATCGTCGTCGTCGTCGTCGTCGTCGTCGTCGTCGTCGTCGTCGTCGTCACTTTCCACGACGTCTTCGTCTTCGTCAACCCCTTCCAATAAATCAGCCACAATCCTACGGCCGCGCCTCGCCTCTAAAGCTCTGGGGACGTTTAGCCAATGTAGGGAGTGGGTTGGAGCTTATATGAATGGCTTCGCCCTCTGCCGCAGCCTCCCCCTCAGGCTGAGCCATCTTGTGGCTATATTGGGACAGTTTGGGGGCCACCATGGGGCCTCTTGGGGGCATCTCCGGGCCCCTGGGGCCGTATCTGGGTTTCCTTGGGAGTGATATTGGAGCTTTCTTGGGGGATCAGGGGTCCATCCTTAGAGCGTCTTTTGGCCATCTAGGGGCCCTGCTGGGCCATCCTGGGCGATCTGGGCAGCGTCTTAAGAGTCTTGGGGCCTTTGGAGATGCCACACTGGGGCCGTCTTGGGCCATCTCGAGGGGTTTGGGGGCCGTCTTGAAGCACTCTTCGGAACTCGAGGGGGACCTCCTGGGCCGTCTTGGAGGCACCATGGAGCCATCTTCGGCCGTCCCGAGCTCTTGCCTCCCGGGCCGTCTTCGCGCCCTCTTCTGGGCGCCCCCGGCCGCGCAGCGGCGTCCGAATTGGGAGTCCTGGGGCAGCCTGGAGCAGCCAGGCCGCCCCCCTTGGAATCCACTGGGGGCCCACGAGAATTCCAGGGGAGGCGCGGGGATCCAAGAGGGATCTGAGGCTCCCCCGCGTGCAAGGGCGGCCTGCTCTGGGGGAGCTGGGCCCGGGGAGCTGGCCCGGACCGGAGAGGCGCGAGGGAGCAGCCAGGAACTCGAGGGCCCCCTCTCGCTCTCCACGCGCCCGGCCCAGCGACCACCGCCGCCGACGCCCTCCTCCTCCTCCTCCTCCTCCTCCTCCTCCTCCTCTTCCCCCTCCTCCTCCTCCTCCTCCTCCTCCTCCTCCTCCTCCTCCTCCTCCTCCTCCTCCTCCCCCCTCTCTTCCTCTTGCCCCTCCTCCTCCTCCTCCTCCTCCTCCTTCCTCTTCCTCCTTGCTCGCCTCGCTCCCCAATCGTCTGCCCCTAGCCCGTTTCCTGTCTCGCCGCACCTGACATGCCATGGTGGTACCTCCTCCTCCTCCTCCTCCTCCTCCTCCTCCTCCTCCTCCTCTTCCTCCTGCTCTCTTCTCTCCTCCTCCCTCCCTCCTCCCTCCTCCTTCTCCTCCTCCTCTCCTCCTCCTCCTCCTCCTCCTCCTCCTCCTCCTCCTCCTCCTCCCCCCCCCCCTCACGCTCCTCCTCCTCCTCCTCCTCCTCCTTCTCCTCCTCCTTCTCATCCTCCTCCTCCTCACTGCTGGGTGGTCACAAGCGGGACCAGACCGGAGAGGCGATCGGGAACTTAAAAAGAGAAGGTTTGTTGCAACATCGTTGATGTGTCCGTGGGTTTGTCCTGGTCTTCCTCCTCCTCCTCCTCCTCCTCATCCTCATCCTCATCATCATTCTCCTCCTCGTCCTCCCCCTCTTCCCTCTCGTCCCCCTCCTCC